TACTTAGCACCCAAAAGCTCTTGTATGAAAAAGCACATTACATTTACATGTAAGTGGAAATACCTCGCGACATCACCTAACTAGCGGTTGAGCTCGACACTCTGAAACTGAGCTCCGGCCGAGACGCTAGTTTAACTAGGGAAGTTGACGTCGGACGGCTGTCATTTGTTCGTCCAGTGATGCGTTGCCAAGTCCGATGCTCTTTTGTTTGTTTCGTTGCGCTTCGTCTCCGTCACTTTGCGCTCGCCTCTACATCCGGTGACACGGACGGACATCGCGATGGACAGGAGGACTAGCGGACAGAATATGCAATCGACGAAATTTTATTTTAAAATATTATCATATTGCATTGTGCATTTAATTTATCTTTTAAAATCACAAGCTTTAAAACATTGTAGTTTATTATTTCGTGGTCAACAGGTACGATTTTGTCCAATTTTGTGGACAAAATGCGCGATCGTTATAGACGAAATTTTATTTACAAATATTATCAAACTTCACTGTGGCATATAATTAGTTTCTTTAAAAGAAAAATATTCCAACTTCTTACTTTTCTACATGGTATTCTCACAGGTCAGCAGCAATACAGAGCGATACATCAATTCGGGCCGCGCCCGTACGAACATCATGTCTTCAGTGACAAGCTAAAACAAATGGGACAGAGGCACATTATGGAGTCTATACCGCCCACACTTTCACTCAAGCTCAACCCAGCACAAGCGGGCCACAATCCTGGTAAGCTGCACCAGATCTATTCACTCTGAGAACTTAGTGAGAACTTGTCCAAAAAGCGATCCATTTCTTATTTGCCTTCCATACACTTATTTGACTAGGTCATCTTGACCCAGTTTGGCTGGGCAAAAAGGTGTATAAATGATACGTGCAGAGAGTGCGTCGCTATTTGGACAACATGACGACCCGTTTATTTTTTTGAATGAATGGTGCCTTCCATGTAGTCCCTTTCAATACTATTTATCACTCCAATTTATCGCCGTTAATCGGGTGCATTCATTATACATCTGCTTTATTTGAAAGTGTTGAAAGGCATCATCGTAATGGCCATTAGTTTTAAAGACTCGTAGACGAGAATTGGTTTGATACAGAGTCTGTACCACTCAAGTTTAACTTATTTCCGATGATTATGAATAATTTTTTTTCATATGAATAGAATTGCAATCGATTCAGTTATAGAACGATTTACTCCATAAAAAATTTTCTAACTTGATTTCTAATTGTTCTTTCTCATATATGAGAAAATTTTAAATCATTTATTTTGAGATTATCTTCGAAATAGCACTATCACCAAGATAATCGTGTTTCGTCGCGCTTAGCACAGTGTTGCGAGTAGCTCATTCGTAGTGATTTATTGAAAATATTTTTCACTGGTCGGAATATTTTATATACGAAGCGTTTCTGTGAAGCCTTACTATTCCGAATTCTTTAGCATGTGGCCCTGCATTTAATAATAATATAAGTGCGTGGTAATGCTAAGATAACGACCACGTTCGCTGGGGTTCAGAAGTTAACTTGAGTTTTTATGGATCTCACATGTCCTTAACAGCGAACCTTGTTATTTTTTATGCGTTTAATTGGACCACATTAAAAGTAAATAACTCCAAATTACAGCTAGCTTCCGACATGGAAGCAGTAGCACATAGCAAGGGAGTCAGCTTATATTTGTCGCTCTTATCTTTACAGTTTCTAATCGCTTATTTTAAAATTTAAATCATGTGGAAAATTTTCAAGTCAGGACAATCAACCATGTGGTACAAAGACATAATCGAAAAATTAGATTTATTTTTATCAAATTATTTACAGTAAATGAATTAATTAATTTACTAATTAAAAAATTTTAATTAATTAATCAATTAATTTATATATTTTCGCCCACACAGAGCTGGGGGGCGGAGTGTCCGGGATGGTTAGTGACCCCTGGTCTCCGGCGGTGGGCTACGGCGCTGGCTACAGCAACTACATGACAGGTCGGTTAATAGAGTCTTGCTCGTATTATATGCTCTTTATCTTGTTCTCATTTCGATAAGAAGCTGTTCCTTCTCATTCGGCTTCAATGGTGAAAAAGAGTCTTAATTAATTGGGGGGCGCCCGTTATAATATTGTATTGTATTATAGGCTGTTAAAATTGTCATTGCGATAAAAAACGGTTCCATTCATTCGGTTTCAATGGAGAAAATTAGCTCCATGTTTTCGGTTCCGTCGCTAAGAGTGGGGCATTTACCTGTGGGTTCCGTACTTTTAAGTTTTTTTTGCCACTATGTGGCACATGTCACTATGATATGATCGAAAAAGTGTTATACTATTAGCCAGGTACGCGAGTTGAAGCATAGCAAGTCACGCCAAATGTTCGACGCGTTAATGGTTTGATATTTAACGCACTGAATACTTGCGCATTTAAAAAAGGCGTCTCTCCTTCAGTCAAAATGGTTTCCTTAAAAAAATATTCAAATAAATACACATGTTCGTCCATGTTATCTTTTGATCATCTGACCTCTTTTCCTAAATATGGTCAGCAATGCATGGCGCTGCACCGATGCATTGGCCGTGTCAGCAAGCACATGATAGATTGACAACGACGGTAAATAATAGTAGTTGTTCTCTGGATGGAAAATGTGATGTATCTAAAGGACTTAACATGAGGTCTGGTTTAGTATTAGCGCGAGATAAGTTACCGCAGTGCTTCTGACAATAGCATGCAGCAACGGCCTCTTCACATGCAAGTAGGCTTTTGCTACAGTGACATGCATTCACTGCAATGCAACGCATTGCGACGCTTCGAAATGCCATGCAGTGAATGACAAAATGATAGTTTTAATGGGCAATTTTTCTTTAACAATGTTCTGCTAGGGACTTCGCTTGGAAGTAATCCGTCTTTATCTTGCAAACATTACTTAATCATAGCCTTACTTAGGCCGAGGACTCGACAAAGATAGTATGGTTTCCGCGCAATCGAATCCGCTCGGAAAATCACTTACAGTTTACCTGCGGTCGTACAATGGCCGCCGATGTTTCGCTAATAATTTTCGATGTTGATATGCCTCTTCGTTCCTGCAGTCACGAAGGTTTCCGTCGCACTTGCTGTGTAAAAGTCCCGCTGTTTATACGTAGTGATCACGGACATCAGGCCTACGCCAATGACGCCAGTTACGAAAATTACCGCTTTTACGGAACTTTACGACTGGTGGAGGTGCGATTATTCTGAAATCCCGTTTTATATCTAGAGTTATTACTGAGTTCGAGGTATAAATATCGGTAAAATATAATGAATGCAACTGTGTTTAATTGCAAGTCCGGACATTCTGCCATTGTTTCGGCAGGTCTCTTTTTCATTGCAATCTATCCCTTTAATTTCCCGATTATTTTCATTCACTATATTTTCGTAATAATTACATCTATCATTAGTCTGCTCAATTCGTGAGTTCATTAAGGGGTTAAAGGTAAGAATACTGCCAAGTCAATTCCCCACATGTTCATTGAAAGAAGATACGGTGAATTTACTTAGTTTTATTTGCTTTTAAATTGTCTTGATTTGATTCTTATTTCTTACATTTTAAATTAATATAGTATATTAATATATAGTAAATTTCTTAATAATAGATAATAATATAATGAATGAATTTAATGGCAAATAATACTAACTTAATTTCTGATATATAATATTAATTAATTAATTGTACATTCATATCAGGATCAGGTGGAGGAGCAAGTGGAGTGCACTCAGGGGGGTACAGCGCTGGCAGCAGTACTCCCTCCCTCGGCTACACCACGCCTGAGCTCTCACACTCCATCACCGCCATGGACACTTCCACTGCACTCCCAGGTAGCTGCTACACACTCAAAACTGGAGAGATTTTGTCCAGATATATGAATAGCGGTGCACTTCTTGCACCTGTGCGTGTGTGTCATTCCGATCAATTTTCGCCCGAAAAGGGAAGGATCGGTGCTACATGAACAAAAATATAACTCAGTACTCACTGCAGTGAGTGACACAGAGCGCATTTTCTCGTCGACGAAAACTTGAGGTCACGGACAGACGGACGGACGGACGGACGGACGGACAGACAGACAGACAGACGGACATGGCGAGCACAATAGTGCATTTTTTCCATAAATGAGAAAATGCGCTAAAAAGAGAGTCAATATTTATACAATATGACCCATTAATTTTTCTCGGTGTAGAAATTGATTACTTTTGCTTGTGTTTTCAAATAAAATTTTTATTTTGGAAATATTGTCCTTGATTCGTAAGATAAATGACACAAGAGGATTTTCCTAATTTTGTAGAAATCGTCTTCAGGAGTTTTGGTTAAGCTATTCATTTTTTCGTTCCAACAGCAATAAAAATTTTTTTATCGGTTTTCAATTTCGATTAAAATTTTTGGCGGTTAAAAAAAAATTACTTGGCATGTAGAAAAATATAACTCAGTACTTTCTGCAGTGAGTGACAGAGAGGGCATTTTCTCGTCCACGAAAACGTGAAGTCGCGGACGGACGGACGGACTGACAGACGGACGGACATGACGAGCACAATAGTGCATTTTTTCCATAAATGAGAAAATGCGCTAAAAATCATGTGAAACGAAGTGCCACTATTGCCATTATTTTTATTATTTTTGTTTTGGGTGCTTGTAAGGTTTTATTAAGATATCTGCCTGAATTAACCATGCCCCTTCCCAATGCTTTATTACTTTATATACAAGAGGGAAATGATATCGTGTTTGTATTTTCTGCAATTTCAAAAGGCCTTTTTGGGCAACAACAGCGAACAAAAAACGTATTCATAAAAATTGTAGCCTGATATTCAACGCTATAAAAACCTTTATTCTCTAACAAACCTCAGTAACTTCATTATGAGACCTGGGCGACTTTGCCCATATAGTGATACACTTCTTATCTATTGTGTGGGTCATCCTGACACAGTTTTGCCAAACAAAGAGCGTATCAGTGCTACATCTTCTTTCTACTCGTTTGGTGGGTAAAAAAGTTTCACTTTTTGGACACTATGGACCATTCATTTTTCCAAGTGAGTTCATTGTTCTAACAAATTAGGCCAGTTTTCAATGCTTTAAACTGTTGAATATGGTTCCATTAAACTGTTAAATATGGTATCCTTTAATCGTTGAATATGGTTCCCTTAAAACGTTGAATATGGTTCACTTAAAACTGTTGAATGTGGTTCACTTTAAACTGATGAATATGGTTCACTTTGAACTGTTGAATATGGTTCACTTTTAACTGTTAAATATGGTTCACTTTTAACTGTTAAATATGGTTCACTTTTAACTGTTAAATATGGTTCACTTTAAACTGTTGAATATGGTTCACTTCAGTTTGACGCAGCATTTCTGTGCTCTCATTAGCAATACTGTTTTCAAGCATAGTTCCGGGTGGCTATTTTTACAGAAAGAATTTTAAGTGCTTAAGTTTTTTCTAGATACGTAAAAGCACGACTAACATTTTAAGATCATTGAGAAAAATAGCGTTGCATGTCACTATATTTCCTATAAGGTTCTTGGAAACAAATCTTTTCTATGTTTATTCGCGTTGCTTGTATTATTACAAGAACTTCTGCTGGCAAAATCTCATTTCAAAGCTTCATTAAGGAAAATGATTGAATGACTCATTTACCTATCGTTGCATTAAAATAAATTTTCTTCGAGTTTAATTTTTATGTGGAGTGAGCAGATGCCGATTTTTTTTCGTCTGTCATTAAAATCGGTGAAATTTGTCAAGCATTTTGACTAAATTTATTGGATCAATTCATGATTTTTGTTTTAATCTGCGACAACGATTCGAAAAAATTACTTCATTTTCATTTTGTCTGCAAGAAATTTACAAGACTGAAAATCTAGGGCTGAAATTCTTCAACAACCGAAATCTTTCAAACGTGATGTTTGAAACGTGGCCTCTGGAACTCATTCAGTATAACGATAATTATATGTCTACTACATATTTCCGTTAATATAATTGAATTCACATTGCAACATGTTTAACCGATTCTGAACTGCGCTACAATGTAGATTTACGAAGTTTTTCACTTCAAAAAAGGAGATTGTGTCTCAATTATCCGCTCTGTATTTACTTTGGAATGGCGTTCAGTGCACAAGATAATGCCAGGTTCGGTGATGAAACCGTGTAGTCATGAGTTTTCAATTGATGTTAATCCGACGTTGAAATAAAATTACCGGCCGGTTTATTATTTTTTGAAGTGCACGTGGGTTGAAACGTTGTGTGTAAGACGTCAGAGTCGCTAACGACCTCGTCATATTGGCGTGAAGTTGGGACGTTGTTGCGTAATTGTTGCCTTGGGCTCGTAAAACTTGACTCATTTGCGTGGTGCTTAGCTATTTTTAACTCTCCATATGGCGTTGCTGTGCGACATGTTCCTGTCTGTACTCTAACATTCGTATTCACGAATTTCGCTGAATTTGTCTGCCTGTCTCTAGGACTTTTGGCCTGTCCGCCTCTGGAACTTTTGGCCTGTCCGCCTCTGGAACTTTTGGCCTGTCCGCCTCTGGGACTTTTGGCCTGTCCGCCTCT